CTCCAGTCTGGGTGACAGAGTGAGACTCCAACTCAAAAAAAAAAAAAAATCAAGAGGAGGAGAATGGGGAAATGGCCATCTGATTTTGACAATGTAGAGGTCACTTGTAGCCTTGAAAAGCACTGTTTCTGTGGCATGGAGGTATTTACATGTTTATGGTCTGTCTCTCCACACTAGTGTGGAAGGGCCACAAGTGTCAGGACTTTGGGGTGTCTTCTTCATTTCTGCATCCCAGTACCCAGCACATTGTATTTTTGAAACCATATCGAATCCTGTATTAACCAGTATCTCCTTCAAGTATGGGAGCCCATCATTTTCCAGTTTGGTTACACCAACAAAGACTAGTGAGGAATGATAGGGATGGAATAGGATCCTCTGGTTCCTTCAGCTCTTAAATTCTATGATTTTGTGACTTGTTCCATCAGCCACTCTTATAATAATACAGTAAGGAATTTAGTTTGTTTTTTTTTATTTGTCTTGGCAAGCAACTGTTAAATTAGATGGTGTTCCATTCATAAATTTAACAAACATTTGTTGAGTGCCTACAATGTGTTAGTGGTATACATATATATATCTGTGGGTGTGTGTGTCTGTCCATTTAATGGTTAGAAAAGCAGAGGGTCTTGGGTGGGAGGGGGAAGTCAGGGCAGGTGATGGGACCTCCCACTACTATCTCTCCCAGAGGTCCAATGTGCTCTGATATGATTGATGCTGCTGTGCTTATCACTGAGGCGGGAAGAGGCCCCAGTAGCCTGAGTGGAGGGGGTTGTGGAGCTGCAGCTGCAAGGGACACAGAGCAGCATTCACCAAGGCATAATAAGCATCCTCTATCTGCTTCACCACTAAGCAGCCTAGGGCTGCCACACAACAGCTGTTTCAGGCAGTGGGAGGAGAGGAAGATGTGGTCCTGAGGTTATACCCTGCCACAGGGCCAACACCCAATTCTACACCACATTTAGGGCTCCAGGCTTCTGCTGTGGTTGAACATTGCATTTTAGGTTTTCTCTGCATAATCCCTTCTTTTTGTTATCATAAGGCCCTGTCAGGCAGAACAGGATTTAGCAGTTGTATTCTGAGGCAAACAGAGGGCTGAGGCAAACAGAGGGCGGCTCAGAGCATTGCAAGACCTGCAGGTGAGGGGCAGAGCCAGAACAAGACCCTAGGGATTCTCCTGTTCTGGAACAATTGAAAGAGAACTTGTATTCTTTTTAAAAATTTAATTTAGTTCGAGACCCGCCTGGGCAACTTGGCGAGACCTCATCTCTACAATAAATTTTTAAAAAATTAGCCGGGCATGGTACTGCGTGGCTGTAGTTCCAGCTACTTGGAAGGCTAAGCAGAAGGATCGCTGGAGCCCAGCAGGTGGAGGCTGCGGTAGCAGGGAGCCGCCACTGCACTCCAGTCTGAGCAACAGAGTGAGACTCCAACTCAAAAAAAAAAAAAATCTTAATTTAGGCCGGGAGCCGTATCTCAAGCTTGTAATCCCAGTACTTTGGGAACCCAAGGCGAGAGGGTTGCCTGAGCTCAGGGATTCGAGACCAGCCTGTGCAACTTGGTGAGACCTCGTTTCTACAATAAATCAAAAAATAAGTCGGGCATGGTAGCACATGCCTGTAGTTCCAACTACTTGGAAGGTTGAGACAGAAGGATCGCCTGAGCCCAGCAGGTTGGTGGCTGTGAGCATGCCACTGCACTCCAGTCTGGACAACAGAGTGAGACTCCGATTCAAAAAAATTTTTTCAAATTTAATTTAATTATATTTTATGAGTTGTGGGTTACATGTGAGAATTTACTACATAAATAAATTGTGAGCATGTGAGGTCTGGGCTTCTAGCAAGCTCCCTCCCTACTCCTCCCCACCCCCGTAGTGGACCTGGTCTGCAGTGTGTGGTTGTGTGCCCTTCACCCCTCCTTCCTCCCTCCCTAGAACATGCACTCTGTAGTTCACTCCGGGATGAATTAATCCTCCCTTAATTACCGCCCTACCCCCATTGTTTCTGAAACAAATACCTCTGTTTCCGTATCTGTAAAATAGGGAGCAAAAAATGTCCTCCTTATGGGGTTCCTTGCAGGATCAAGAGGATAATGTGAAAGACAGTGCTTTCTAACATACAAAGTGCTCTCGAGACATTTTTTGACCACCAGGCCAAGCTTCCTCTTACAATTATAGATTAGGCGCTCCCACCCCTCCGACCTTGTTCCACTTTCCACTCATTTTCTCCGTCCCTCCCCCTTCAACAAAGAGAGGAAGTGAGAGGCAAAGAGGCACGTGCGCCTAAGGCCCGGGTTTAGCCGGCTTGGGTAGCTTGCAGGCTTTGTCTCCTGGGGGCTGCCGAGAGGCTCCTCCTCCCAGAACTACATTTCCCAGCAACCCTCTCGCGAGGCGCATGCGCCCAGTGCCGCCTAGGCTGGTCTCCGGGACGCCTCTCTTGACCGGTTTCGCCTCGCAGAGCCGGCAGGTCCGGGTGCTGCGGCGACCGTGCTGCCTTGCCTCCTGCGCCTCCCGGGCTGTAGCGGGCTGAGGTGTGCGGTGGCTCTGGACAGTGCCATGATCCGGCAAGAGCGCTCCGCATCCTACCAGGAGGTACGAGGGCGTGGGAGACGGAAGGGAAGTTCCTTGTGAGGCTGAGGAGTGGGGTCCCGGGGGTCTGGGCGGGTAGGGTGCGGGGGGCGTCCAGGCCGCGCAGCCGGGGGCTCTTCCGAGGGACAGGGTGAGCGCGTCCCGGGAGGGGTCCCTGGCTGCAGAGGGGGCGGAAAGGAAGCGGGGTGGCGGAGCGGGCGCCCAGCCTCCTCCGGATCGCTTGGTCGAGGGATGGAGTCGGGTCCCGGAGCCGCGACCCGTAACTAGCAGGTGAATGATTAAAGCTACCTTGGGCCCAGTCCCCGGCGCTGCATACCGCAGCGGGACCCCCGGGGCCCGGAGGAAGCCGGTGTTCTTGCAACAAGTGGAGGCGCCCGCGCCCTCCTTGGCGAGAGCAGATGCGCGGTGGGCGGCCGCCCTCCTCCAAGCCCAAGGCCGCGTAGCCCCCGCGGCTGGCTGGTGACAGGGATCAACGCCCCTTGTTTTGGTGACCGCCTAACTTTGAAAAAGTGCTTTCACCGACACGACTGGTTCTCGCTCCTCTCTGTCCCTCCCTCCAGTCTTACCGCCTCCCACGACTTTATCACTTTCCAGTTCTTTGTTTCTTGTCTGGCCTGAGCTTCAGGCCAGCTCTTCCTCCTGACTCCCTCAGCTGTTTCTGTGAGACTGCTCTCCTCCTCCTCTCAGGCCCCAACGCTTGATCCTTTTTTGTAAACTTCCCCTCTTGTGCCGCTCCACCGTGCCCCCCTCACTTGCCAAGGTAGGCAATTCCACCTCAGTCCTCCTCTGGTTTGGGTCCCTGTGTTTGCTCCGACCCCCTAGTGTGATCCTTAGATTTGCTTTGAGGCCCTGCCTTGACCCCAGAGCTGATAGACCTGATGTTGCCTTTGGTCTGCCCAGAATAGTCCAGACTGCTCAGTAAGCTCTCCTAATTCTGCAGCTCAGCAGCCCTATCTCCCACTACTTTAGCCAGCTCCTCACCCACCTAGGCTCTGGCCACACTGGAATCTCACTATATATATTTTTTTTTTTTTTTTTTTTTGAGTTGGAGTCTTACTCTGTCACCCAGGCTGGAGTGCAGTGGCAGGCTCACAGACACCCCATCCTCAACCTGCTGGGCTCAGGTGATCCCTCTGCCTCAGCCTTTCAAGTAGCTGGAATTGCCCATACTACCACGCCTGGCTAATTTTTTTATTTATTGTAGAGACAAGGTCTCACTAAGTTGCCCAGGCAGGTCTTGAACCCCTGGGCTTAGGCAATCCTCTACCCTCGGCCCCCAAAGTACTGGGATCACAGGCCTGAGCCACTGTGCCCGGCCAAATCTCATTATTTTATTTTATTTTATTTTATCTATTTTTTGAGTTGGAGTCTCACTCTGTCGCCCAGACTAGAGTGCAGTGGCTGCTCCCGGCCACCGCAGCCTCGACCTGCTGGGCTCCGGCGATCCTTCCGTCTCAG